AAGTAAAAAAGCTGTCATGTTTATGTAGAGATTAGGAAAGAAAGCCTAATCAATTTTTAAAATTTGATTTTACTCTAATCTACCTTATGTGATTCTGATGATACTACGTACCACCTAGAATTTAATTGTGGCCTAGATATTTACAAAGAATCTACATTAAAATTAACATTACATATCTGACATAACTGCCGTTTACTAATAGAATAAACTAGTTGTCAGATCAGCATAACAAGCAGTTTATTTTGTATAACTATAAAAATATTTTTCAATGACATTGCTGTATGCATTCTTGAGAGCTGGAAGTTGGCAGCACACAGTTTTCATGTACTAAAGTTGGGAGAGCCTCTGTGACCGTGAGGTCACTCCCTGTGGTGTCCAAAAGCAATCCTAGAACGCTTTTGAGAAGCTACACATAAAGAAGCTTGACACAAGTGTTTAATCCTTTTTGTTGGCATAGCACCTTACCTTGGCTAGAGTGTGACCTTTTTTTTTTTTTTTTTTTGGTTCACTTGGTTTGTATGACGAAGGTAAGAAGTTTCAGGTTATGTAAACTTACTCAACATTAGTTTTCGAATCTGTAAGGTGGAAAGCCATGGGTGTTTAACTTCTCAATTTAAAAGCTGGAATCAAGGGCTAATGGAACTTACATACCTAAAACCACGTATCCCATGCCCCATTTCATAGATGAGGAAGTAGAGGTGCCGGCAGACAGCACAAATTCCTTACGCCTGTTAATGGCAAAGCTGGCACTTGAACCCACATCTCCACTTTCCCCACTTTTCCATACCACTAAGCACTCAATACATGCTGAGAATCATGAGGATGAAGAAATGATCTTGTTCAGCATCACTTTTAAAACTTCTCCGATATGTATTGCCCACAGTAAAAATTACACTTTATGCTGTGACTCAGAACATACAGTCACATACATGAAAAAAGTTTCACAAAACCACTTGCCCTGTACAAGACAAGTTTATTTTCCACTCTCATCAAGTTTATTTTACTTTATGGAAGCTGCACATGAGCCACTGAATGGATCTGATGGGTCAGGCACTGCTAATAGATCAGAGGCCGCAGTGATAAACACTCTTTTTAAAAGCCAAGATCTTTTTGAAGTGACGATCCAGAAAGTACATGTATAAGCACAGACAAGATATATATACCACAGCATCTTGCCCTTACGTATGCTTCACAAAACCAGGGAGGGCGGGAAGGAGGGAGAGAGAGAGCAAGAAAAGAAAGTAAGCACCTTTTAGATTTCAAAGGATACTGTGTTTCTTTTCTTTTGGTTATTACATTTGGATAAAGATCTCCCAAGTTCTCTCTAATGTGAAATTCTAAAACTGGCAACTTGAACAAAGGTTATATACAGAAAAGAAGATCTGGAATTGCATGTATTGTGTTGGGTGTTGACATTTAAATTCATAAACAGGGTAACACATGGAAGCTTTTCCATTTCCTATAAATGTTATTTCAAATTACAGCAGGCACAAAACACAGTTCATTTTCAACCAGATCTTGAATTTTTATGTAATGAGATTCTGTAAAAAACAAAAATAATATGAATATAGACATAAATATTTGTGGGGTGCCTGGGTATTTTGATAAATATCTGCTTCACAAATGTTCTTCCTTCCTTTATGGTCTATAAGCCTCCGCAGAAAGTCTTGCACTCAATCTGTCCTTTTGTTACATTGCCTTTCTGTCCTAAGTTTCCAAGCTTTCTTCACTTTATCCTGATATCTTTATACTTTTAATATTTTAAGTCCTGCTGCTGCTTTTGTTCTAACCAACTCAATGGTCTAGTTTTCCTCTTGCAGGCCATACACCTTCTGCTACATGGTAGTTATACTGTAATCATGATGCAATTCTCTGATGGGCAGCTAGTCTCTCTTTGGGGCCACCCCATATGACACTGTTAGGTGGGGAGGCCAGGAGCTGCCAAGGGTGGTGTGCAGACGGTAGTATCCAAGGGGAAACCGAAGATGGAAAAGGACCCGGTATTAGTCCATTCTCACACTGCTATAAAGAACTTCCCAAGATGGTAGTTTATGAAACAAAGAAGTTTAACTGACTCACAGTTTTGTATGGCTGAGGAGGCCTCAGGAAATTTACAGTCATGGTGGAGGATGACGGGGAAGCAGGCACCTTCTTCACAAGGAAGCAGGAGAGAGAGTGAACTCAGGAGGAACTACCAAACACTTATAAAACCATCAGATCTCGTGAGAACTCACTCACTATCATGAGAACAGCATAGAAACTGCCCCCTATGATTCAATTACCTTCACCTGGACTCTTCCTCGACACATGGGGATGATGGGAATTTACAATTCAAGATGAGATTTTGGGTGGGGACATAGCCAAGCCATATCAGAACCCCTTCCAGAACCTTGGATGGCATACTGATGAAGAAAAAGAGGCACCTAGTCCTTGGTGACATTAACTGAGCAGTGGAATGAAACTTCACCTGAACCTGGCAATTCCACTAAAATTTTCAATACATTCCAGCCATTTTCAATAAATTATATTTTTATTTATCCAATTTCAGCTGAGGTTTTCTCTGGAAATTTGAAGATTTTAAACTGATAGTAATAGCAACTTCTTTCTTGCCTGTCAATCCACAACTCCCTTTGAGATAAGCCCCTCCTCTGATTCCTCTTGCTGACATAAACTTTTCCAAATTAAGTGACTGAAATGAAAAGTGGCATTCTACAATTCTGACTTGAATTTTTCAGTGATAACTAAAACAACAATGTTACTACCAACAATATTCGCTAATAGTAAGTACTTATTATACACCAATAGTAAGTTAAGGCAGTGGTGCTCAAATTTTGCTGCAAATTTGCTTTTCAAATCCATCATGCCCACACCACACCTGTATCAATTTGATTCTTATGGTACCAGCATTTCTGGAGGCGGAAAACACACATCAGCATTTTTGAAAGTTTCCCAGGTAATTCCATGAGCAGTTAAATTTGAGAACTCCTGTGCTAAAGGTTTCCTAATGAATTATTTCATTTAATCCTTATAGCAACCATTTCAAGCACTTATTATTATCATTATCATCACCATTTAGCCAACGAGGAAGAAGCTGGAGTCTCAGGAAAGCCACACAGGTAATATTTAATAGAACCAGGCTTTGAAAATGTTAAAGGAGAGTGAGGTTCTTGAACATCAGCAAGGAATAGGAGGGGAAAAAGGAAGCCAGGAGCATAGGTAATCCGAAGAGAAAGCAATCAGTCCCTCCAAGAAAGAGTTGATGGAGAAAAGCTGTCAAAGTCAGAGTATTCTGAGTGTTAAAAATCCATCCTCACGAGCAGCATTTTAGGATCTAACAGTGGTTTATCAGCTGAGCACAGTACAGGCGCTACTTCTGTTCATTTGTCACTGTTCAGTAGACATTTATCAAACTACATGCATAAACGAAACACTTAACTGATAAGCAAGCTGTGTACTGCAATAAAAGAGACAGATCCAAGCCTGAAAGAAACCCTCTATGTGGCAGCAGAATTCACTTTGACTCCCAATGCCTGGAGACAAAGGGGGATCTGAAGCAGTGTCGGCAACTGTCTTTAACTAATATCGATATTGAAATTGCAAGTTAGGCCAATAAACTTAGGTTCAAAGACAAATTTCATAGCTACATTATCAATATAGTTCTTGGAGCTAACAGGCTTATATGAAATTTGGCTGAAATGTTGTTGGTGGAAGAAGAAAAAATATTCTTTCCTATACTAAAAACTGTGAGCAATTTTGAATCATCAACAAAGCATTAATTATGGTAAGTCTGATACAAAACTGAGAGGCTAAACTATTGAAATTCCATGTTACTAAGGAGATAAATGTAAATAACAGACTAGTTTTCATATGAAACACTTATAGAAGTCTTCCTGAATACAGTTCTAATTTTTCTTTCTAAAAATCTTTGTGTTTTACATTTTAACATAGATCATTTTAACCCTTTCAGCAAAAAATAAAATAAAATAAAATAAATTAAAAAGCATAGCAGCTGTGTGTTTGCTGTGTCATAGAATTTGCTGGCACCTACTGCCTTTTTACGCCTCTGAAGAATAATTATTCCAGGTGATTTTTTTGTCTTGCATCTCCAAAGCAACAGATCATTTTAATGTCAGAGAAAGAATTTTGACTTTTAAAAGATAAAACAAAAGTTGTGGGAAGACACTCAAATAGAAAATAGCTGGTTTTATATCAATTATGGAAAGAGGCATTGAGCTCCTAAATGGCAACTGTACTTCTGTGTCTGCCAATACCCTCTCTGCCAGAAATGAAGTATGTAAAGTACTAAATTTTAAATAAAATGAAGAATAGTTTTAACTTTGATGGCAAGTCAACATATCTTGCTACTATATCCTACCAGATCATCTAAGCTTAAAAAAATTATGTTCTTCATCCAATATTTAAAAAGAATCTTCAAAAAATAGACTGAAAACACTTCTTTGAATATTTCTTCAGTTAAGATTTTCAAACCAAAACAAATGACACTGCACACAATTCATCCCAAAGTATGCTGATCTTTACTAGTAACATTTGCAGAATTAAGACCATATACCTTTTGGCATGGTGGATGGTATCATTTCAATGGCAGAGCATTTCAGAGCATTTCAACATGGGAGTTCTATTCATCATGTCTAATGGTTAGTTCCCATATGTTTACGAGGTTCAAAGATTTTTTCAAATAATTTCAAGTACTTTGTAATCATTTAGAATTACCCAGTAACCTGGGCATTGTTGTTGTTGTTGTTCTTTCAAACAAAGGCAAAATTAGAGGACACAAAGCAAACCCCTTTTGTTCAAGAGCCCACATATTTGTTCATTGTTCCCATCGTTTAATAAAAGTGAAAGTGTTTAGGGCATACTGGCTATTGTGTTTTATAACATCTACAACATGGAAACTTTTAATTGGGGCAATTAATTGATATGGTGACACAGCTAAACAATCAAGGCAGCATCTGGTGAATGCACAACACTCAGCCTCCTACCTTGGGAGCTTTGGCGTGTCTCCCACATCTGGCATCTTTGACAAGGCTGAGATCCAGTAGCTCCGTCTCCTGGAAGGCAAAAACGTGAAATCATTAAGCAACCACACAGATCTTTCCTCTTTGTTTTATGTTATTGACATCACTTAAAAAATTATCTTGAGACTTGACTGAAGACTTCTCTGCAGTTGGGATATTTCTTTCCTCTTACGTCACTTCTCAATTGAATTAGAATGGAAACAAAAAGACAGCTAACTGCTAACTGCTCAGTTATACATTTTGAAAGCAAAAAGTGTGTGGTTATGTCCCCAGTCTATCCTAAAAGCCATTCCTAAATCATGATGAATCAGGTCTTCTTGTTCTTCCTGTTGAATATAATCCTGGGAGTCACTGAGCATAGGTGAGGGTATGAGGGTATGTCGGTAGAGAGAAGGATTAGGGAGGAGGACGGAGTGAGATGCTCCCATCGGCTCACACACATACCCAGCTTATCTGGCCAAGGCAGAGATACGAATCTGCCTCCCACAGCCACCAGCCTTTTGCACACATACCTCATGCCCTGATCTTTTCACTTAATCATTACCCATCATTGAACACCTGTGATACACAAGTTACTCTAGGGAATAAGGCGTACAAGATATGATTGCTTTCCTGGATGGACCTGTTATCAAATAGGAGTGTAAAGAAATGTGTATGTGTAAGACGGGGGGAATGTGTTAATGACAATTTTAAAATCAACTACCATGGTTGGGGGGCAGCAAAGACAACACGATTTTTTTCCTAGGAGCTCAGAGAAAAGTTTATGAGAAATCATTAAGCTTGGAAAAAACAAGTAGGGAGGGAGTTCCTCCCAGTTGGAGGGGAACATATGAGCAAATGCCTAGATGAGAAAGGCCCAGAGGTTTTGGCTGAACCTTGAGGTATTCGTGGCCTTTAGACACTTAGAGACAGAGAACATTACAGGGAAAGGAGGTAGGGAGAAGGATAGAGAAGCATCCAGGAGTGAAGAACTGCAAAGGTGCAGGCACAGTGGTGTTGTAGAAGGATGGAAGCGGATTCACATGGGAGGACATCCAGTATTCCATTTGGCTAGAGCATAGAACATGTGACAAGAAGTCATGGGAGATGACACCAGAAAGGAATATGGGCCAAAGAATGGAAACCCTGAATGTCTGGTTAAGCCGACTGAGCCACGAGGTTTGTGACACACACAGGTTGCTGCATTAGACAGTGGACTCTACCACCAGCCAGGTAGGACTGTGGTGCAGTGAACAGTTGTCTTAAAGTGACTCCAGATGTCCTAAATATGATTCCTGGGCAATGAGCAAGTTGGATGGAGCATCGAGTCCCCTTCTCCCAGCAGGAGGCACTGTGTCCTAATTCAGTTGCCAACAGAAGCTCTGGATAGGAGTGGCTCTAAAGTCTTAAAGGCCAAGCTCCCTAAGAACCAGCACCTTTTGTTCTTAGGTAGCTTCTTCAAACAGCTGCTGCCAGTCCCAAATGTCTGGTGCAAACTGATCTGATTATTTTTCTGCACCTAAAATTGCCTTGTAATAAGGGCCAAATAAAAGGTGAAGTCTCACCCCTCGAATGCAAACCCACACAGAAGGTCCAACAGAGCACCTGATACACCTCTCTGTGGGATGAAGGGTGGACAGGAAACAGTGAGTCTCTGCTCTTGCTCATTCTGACCTTGTAAGTTTCCTTTTCCCCATTTTAGAGGGTTCCTTAGCCCATTTCATGCTATGTCTGACCCTGTGGAAATCCTCCCAAACCCCTGGGGTGTGATAGGTGGCAACCCAGCAAGGAACTTGCAGGTCAGAGTGACTGATGCCACAGTTCCCTGAAGGCCATACCATCCACAGTATTGGAGGTTACCTTATGAGTGTTAGAAAACAATGGTCTCAACCATGTTCAATGCTTCACTTAGGACACAAATGCACATTATAGAACGCTCTCTGAAGAAACGGTGGAAAAACCAGAAGTGAGTAAGTTAAGCACATGCCCAAGTTTCTTTATCTCTACAGCAATGACCACCAAAATATTTGCTGGAAGAGGAGAAACAGTAAGGGAACCAAGCTTGAAGAAGTTTAATCTAGAAGATGGGAAATAAATGGAGATCTGAGAGATGAAAGACGAGACAAAATGAAGGTAAGTAATTGGAAGAAAGAGGAGAGAGATGGCAGTGGAGGAACTGACTGAAGGAAAGAGGGAAGTCATAAAACACGCTGCAGTTTCCACCTTTCCTACACTGAGACTTAGAAGTTTGGGCAAATTGATAGTGCATTCTGGAGAGGTTGGTTTGAGGGCTTTATACAAGTGGAAATGCCAGTAATTAATTCACTGGAGCATTATTTATTGAATGCCTACAATGTATCAGGTATATGCCAGTACTGAGAAACTAGAACATACGAAGATAAGATCCCAGTTTCGATGAGCTCATACAAACAAGCCAAATACTATATGCTAAAGGAAATATTTCAAAGTGCCCTACAGACATGGGCTACAGAGAGCTATGGCATGATTTCAGCCAGTACACAAGGATGAGACAGAGTTTGCCAGCCTTATAACTATGTGATTGGGGTGGGAGGGTGGGTGTGGTTTCAGAGAGAGGAAGTTGCGGGTAGAAAATCACAGAAGCAAGAATTGTGTGCAGAAAACTACAACTTACTTAGGATATGTCACAGAGGTATATGGAGCATTAGCAACAATCACTTTGGGATTTAGTAGTCATTACATGGGTGTTCTCTTAATAATTATTTATAAAACACTAACATTTATGTTTGATGTAATTTTCCATATATATTACATGATGCTTTTACATCTATGTAGGATAAAAATCTCTCTTACACACACAGTATGTTTACCTAATTAACAGTAATCTTTTCTTTTCTTTTCTTTTCTTTTTTTTTTTTTTTTTTTTTTTTTTTTTTTTTTTTTTTTTTGAGAGACAGGGTGTCACTCCATCACCCAGGCTAAAGTGCAGTGGTGCAATCTCAACTCACTGCAACTTCCACCTCCTAGGTTCAAGTGATTCTCGTGCCTCAGCCCTCGAGGAGCTGAAATTACAGGCACGCACCACAATACTCAGCTAATTTTTGTGTTTTTAGTAGATATTGCATTTTGCTATGTTGGCCAGGCTGGTCTCGAACTCCAGACCTCAAGTGATCCACCTGCCTTAGGCTCCCAAAGTGCTGGGATTGCAAGCACGAGCCGCCATGCCCGGCCTGTAATATTTTCTATTTAAGGAAATTCCTCCCAATTGAAGAAACAATAGACTTAAACATAACTTGTTTGATTATATACACGAAGCCCAAATTGAATTAACAAAGAACTAGATCTTAGCAGGCATCATTACATAGACTTTTGCATTACAGATAATGAACTCTGTATTCTACTTCCAGGATTCATTCCCCAAGCCACGGAAGGGTAGTTAACGCCAACTGTGTGCATGAAAACCACCGCAGGGCACTATCATCAAGGGTAATGTGGCGTGGGGAAGACCCAGGTGGAAAAGCTGTCCATGAACTCATTTGGCTAGAAAGCAATGATTAAAATAGTGCCTCCCACTTCTATTAACATGCCACAGGCACCCCTCTGGAGTTTAACTGCATCCCTTTCTCTCTGCCACTAAAAAGAAAATGAAGAACCCAATGCATGACCACAAAAGTGTTTCTTGTATCATTAAAACTTTTTCTAGGTTAATTTTCTTGTGACAATAGTTTTAACAACGCACTCTCATTACAATAAAGCAGTGAAATGGTCCCTTTCTGCCCTTCCTCAGTTCAAGAGTTTCTGTTTTCCAGCTTTGTGGAATTCATTATTTCTTTACTCTTCTCTTTGAGAGAGAGAGAGAATACAGGTATATATGCAGAAAACTTGGGTTTGAGTGAGGACCTTAAAATTAATTATTCATAAAAAAAAGTAATCTTTTCTTTTCTTTTCTTACTTGGGTTTGAGTGAGGACCTTAAAATTAATTATTCATAAAAAAAATTAATTATTCATGTATTTAGTCAGTAACTTTACCACACTGAGCATCAATTTTGTCATCTATTAAATGGGTAGGAGCATACCTTCCATATCAGTGGCTCTCCAACTGTAGCCTGCATTATAGTTGCCTGAAAGGCTTATTAAAATACAGATTTGCTCCATGTCACTTGTCAGAGTTTCTGGTTCCATGAGTCTGGGGCAGGCCTGAGAATCTGCATCTCAAATAAACCTACGGGTGATGCTGATGTTGCTGGTCCAGTGACCACACTTTGAGAAGCACTAATGATATACTCACGTTGTTATAAGGCCTTTCATGTGAACATCATTGATAAAGCAATACAATACTTATGTTAATATGAAGAATCTATAACTATCATTTCTTTACATCAGGAACTGTCAAACAAAAATATTACATTTACTGAATGTAAAAGTGTGCCTAGTGGGGAGATTTAGCTGAAGAAAAAAATATTGAATGACAAACGCTATCGACTGCTACTGTAATAATCTCTCTTTAGGATTAAATCATATTCTATCCAAGCAAATGTCCTAGGTGTTCAGCAACTCAAGCAACCATTGAAATTATTTTATCACAGATGTTTTACTATAGAACATTTGCATTATACTTTATAACATTAGATACATCTTTAGAAAAGTGGAAGAAAGAAATTTAAATTTGTTCTCTCTAACCTTTAAGTCCATCCAACAATGAGAAAGGAATTAAGTGCCTAAAGTCACATAACCTACCTGAATCATTAAAGGAGGAATATACTAAAAGAACCGTTTATTTCCAAGGCCATTAATGATACCCTGCAAAGCTTGGAGATCATACTCTCAGGACCTCAGATGCATCCACTGATGCATTGATGGATATGCCCTCTCTTTTTGTCAGTATGGATAAAAATGAATTAACAGCATGGATACAAGTGAACAGTAATATTACAATAATATTGTAACTGTCTATTGACATGGGGTTTCACCACTTGGTGTGAATCCCTCAACAAAAGACCTTGGACTTTTATCTCCATTTGTATAGTGTTTAACATGAAGTTCAGCACAGAGGCTGTGTATTTCATCCTGGTTT